TATATCAGACTGATATCTGAGAAGAATGATGATGTTGTTTTAATTTGTATTCTTCATGCAAAATTCATCTGATTTGCCATTGATGAGAGCAAAGAAAGCTCACAATAACAACAACAATAAAAATATCCTGAACAGTCAATGTGCTCTTATTAATACATGTAAATTTACACGTGTTCTACTTATTTACTGACTCAGTTACTTTTCAAAGTTAAACCATCGTTAACTGAAGATGTTTTCGTCTGGATTCTTATCACTCTTAAAGATTCCATTGTCCTTGTATGTTCCCAGTCGTCGTGTGACATAACTTGACTCCTCTTTAGGCTTGTTCGATCGATCTGAATTTTGTTTAGTGCTTTGATTATTGCAGCGGGTGATACTTTATGTTGTAGTCGTTTAGTAACTTATTGCAATTATTCCATCTAATCTCTTCCACCAAATTTTATTTATTTATTTCATTCAGTACTTATTGTCACGCACGTCATTCTCGTGGAAGATAAAGAGTCAATGGATGCAGACAGATGAATCGATGAAAACAGATTCTTATTTTTGCTTTTTTCTTTTCATCCTCTTCTTAGCCGTCCATCCCATCCGTTTACTTCATTATTTCAACAATAAAAAACCGAGTGAATGGTAAGTGTTGTTGTGGCTTAATAATAAAAATAGTGCTTCTGTGTAGGAAAATTGGATCGAATAACCTGATTTGATCAATTGGACTGCTGCTGTTACCACTGATGTCTAATATAAGTGTAGGAAAGCGAATTTAGAGGCTTAACGAATCGTCACTTCCTTATCTATAAGTGTTTTTCTCATTCAGTATCGTGTCACTGCAGCTTAGGCTTTAAAATTGAGCAAAAAAAGATAGAATTGTCTTCCGTTGTTGTTGTATGCTGCGTTGAACTTGGCTCAGCTCGGCTCGTCTCTCTTCTATCGTCTATTTGTCATTCTTGTCTTCCCCAGTTGAAAACAATTAATTGCAATCAAATCTTCAACAAAAACTTGACTTTCAAGAGCAAGTTATTTGAGCAAAGTAAGTTGTCTTAAAAGACACACACACACATACAAATATGGATACGATAAATGACTAAATAGAACGAAGAAAGAGAAATGAAAACAATCAAAAAACGGCTTGGAATTCGTTTTATGAATAAACGAATGATTTTGATAATGCGTTCTACAGTCATTCAAGTTAGTCATTTGATACATACTACGACTAAAATGTCATGTTTCATGATTATTTTCATTTATCATTCAAGCTGCTTACTATGGATCCAATTTATACTCATTTATCTTCATAATATGTTCCTGTTTGTCTTGCCTTATCTTATAATGTTGTTACTATTGTTGCTGTTATTGGAATTGCTGTCTTCGGTCATTCGTTAAATGCCATTTTAAAGTTAACTATTATCGTTTTTATTTGATTTTGATTCTTTCACTAAACAATTTCTTTTTGCTACTTTAATAAGATTAGCCGGAATTTGATATAACTTCATGCTTCATAGCATCTTCTTCGCCTTCCTCATCATTCTCTTCTCAGTTTTATGTTCTTTTCTTCAAATAAAACGGCAACTGAATGATTCTTGAGTGTTGACTGAAGAATGTATGAAGATTACACAATCGAACTCAATTACATTTTGAGGAATTCAGCTTAAGTTTAGTTTTCTTCAGCAGAATAGATAGGAAACTGGAGCGTAGTCGCTTGCTGTTAGAGTGTTTTGATTCTGAATGAATTCTTTTTTTTCACTCTTTGAGAAACGATTTGATTGAAGCATTGAAGCTGAGTAGATGGATGCGTGGATAGACAGATGAATGAATGATAGGCAGATTGATGAGGATTTCAATTGTTAACTTTTGATTGTGGATTTTTCATTTTGAAGGTGAGGAATAAGAAGCGATATTGCGAATTAATTGGTTTATTTATTGTTTTTGCTATCAGAAAATATTTTGCACGAAGAGATTGATAGTATTGTATTTTGCTGCTGTTTTCTTCGTGATTTCTTTCGAAACTGAAACTTATATGTACAGCAGTATTTCAGCTGAACTGCAATAATTTTGGTTATAAGCAGTAAATTTGTTGGTAATGTATCGTGACTTAATTTTAAGTATTCAATTTTACATCAGTTCACTGAGCAATTATTATTTTTTACAGCTCCTCCTTCTTTCTTGATTAAAAAATAATAATAATATTATTATTGCATAATGTAAGAGTTCGTTTCAGTCATGAATATTCACATATATTAAAAAATGTAATGTCTTTCCCGTCCATCGCTAGCATTCATATTAATAAGAACATTGTTATTATTATTATTATTATTATTATTATTATTATTCAAGTTATCAATCTTGTGAGAGATATTATTAGTGAGTCATTATAAGTCAATTTTAAACAGGCGTGGGTATTTTTTGAAACGCATTGATGCAAAAATTGATGATGCCTAATTGATAGTATTCGTTCGAAACTTCATATAAAGTGATACACATTCTAGTAAAAAGTACATTCACAAAAGTGATACAATTAATGGTCTCATTTCTTAAGTCAAAGTTTTCGACGAATTCTACAAATATTTTCTCCTTAACGAAATTTCTCAGTCATCAATTCAAACTCTTCGTCTTTTTCCTTTCTGTATATAATGTAATAGCTAAAGTTATAACTCTAATCTCAAGAGTACTAACAGTTAATAATGCTGATGATAATAATCATAATGGCCATACGATGGTGATGATAATAATGATGATAATAATAATAATAATAATAATAATAATAATAATAATAATAATAATAATAATAAT